ACGTAACCTACCACCACCACGTAGTAAGGTAGGACGGTAGTGTACTACTAACTAACTACGTAGTAGTTAGTAGTAGTTAGTAACAGACATATATATATATATATATATATATATATATATATATATATATAGGGGAATGATAGTATGTGTGGGAGCCTTTTTACCCTTTCTTTCTTAAAATTCCATCATACTTTTTCATTGAACTAGGCTTCTCTCTACCCTCTCTCAGAGGCATTCACAAAGCTCTCTGCTAATCTCCGTCTCCAATCTTCCTTCTCTCTTAACCTCTCTCCTCTCTTTGGAGCAATCTTCCTCTCACTCAAAACCCATCTCTCTTCAGCTTCCCCTTTTCTCTTTCTTCATTTGAATAACTAATTTTCATTAACACAATGCCCTTACCGAAAAAGGCCCTAAAAAAATTTAGGGCATTAGCCCTTGAATAGCCCCAATCCACCAACGCCTCCTTATGACCATGGCACCAGATAAGGGTACTTCACATATTTGGGAAAGCTTCCAAAGACTGCTTCTTGTGAAGGTACAGCTGCTCTCTAAGAACGCTTGGAAGAAAATTAAGGAGGATGTGGAGGATATGATGCTAACTGTTAGCTATGTGGCCTTTAAAGGCTTTAAAGCCAAGAGTCCTACGCTCAGTGGGATATAGAGAGAGACTGAATCTGGGTGCTTGGCACACTGGGGCCCATATTCATATACCCCGAATATTTGATGCTTTGAAAGTATGCGTTTGGGAGTGTGAACTCTCGGGGAGGTGTGAGGGTTACCTCCCAGTCAGAACTATATTGATTAGAATGCCTCATAGTTGATGTGATAAACCAGGGCTTAGAGAATCCAATCTAGAAAAATAAAACCCAAGTATTTAAAAGAATATTCGTCCTGTATGGAATAGTCGCCTCATAGGACATGAGCCCGTATCCTGACACGAGACCGTTCCATGGCATGTGCACCATAGTCATATAGGGAAGCCACTCTTCTATAGTAATATCCGACTTAAAAGAGCTAGTGCACATGTGCTTTGAGAGGACCCCTGTATTTGAGTAGAAACATGTCCCACAAGAATGCACAAGTAATCCATTGAACCCTGGTGATAGGAAACTCTAGCTCAACGACTTTGATGTGACCAATTATGTGTCTTGGCCATAGACTGTGGAGCATAAGTCCGTTGGGTCGGCTTGAAACACCGATGGAATGTCATTCGAATTAGCCCTATGGAATACTCCGACTATTGTTATAAGTCAAGAGATCTCATTTACCTTTGGTCCAAATTAATCTAAAATTGATGAGAAAATATGTAATAATGTTGAAATATCATTTGGAGAATTTTTTGGATTTTTGAAAAAAAATTCAGAATTTTTAAATCATCAAAAATGTGATTTTCAAGTTTGTTTGACATAAATACCAAACAAAGACATCCTATGGGGATGCCACATGGATCCCAAGTGGCCATAGGGATGCCACGTGGCATCCCTACCTCCCACTCGTGGATGACATCATATCCATGTGGAGACCTATTTGTCATTAGTTCTTTTGTTGGTATTATCTTATAACATGTTATCTTGTTATTTAAAGTGTTATATATTGTTATGACTTAAGTCACGTGTTTTTTTGCTCACATGTGCCATTTTTAGCATGTTTGGATTCATGGGATTTTGAGAATTAATTTGATTTATATTATTATCCACATGATTTTGTGGCATATGGAAATATCTTATGTAGCACCACTTTATGGGCTTTGACCCATATGAAACTTTAATGTTGTTGAAATCCTATTGGTGGTGTCATAAGATATTTCATTCACATGTATAGATGTCCCATATTACTTTTATATTCATGTCCTTGTCTTTTATTGACTCTCACAAGTTATTCAAAAACCATAGGCATAAGTGTAAACATGAATTTGGACTTAATAGGAAACAAAAAATAGAACTAATGGCTTTAAGGTAAAATGACTATAAACCTAGATTTTAAGGAGTGAAGGGTGTCAAAAGCTCATACATTGATCTTGGTGATAAGATATAGATGAGTGATTAAGGCATTAAAGATCAAGATCAAATCCATCTTAATGATCTAAGTATAAAAATAGCTTATAAAATCAATTATAACCCTAACTTGAATATTCATTTCAAAGAGAAAGAGAGAGACCCCATGACAAAAACGTGGCCACCCATGAGACTATCTTATTCCTTGAGCTTTCATTTGAAACCCTTCCATAGAGTAGTCCCTCGTATGTGTGATCAAGCACATACTATTGCTTCACTAAGGTATTGATTTTTTTCTTATATTTCAATTCCTACATCATTTTCATTATCAAAGCTTGCTATAATTCTTAATTCACAGTAGCTTACTTCATCTTTTGGTCATGAAAACTTGATATTTGAATAGTCTCAAAGCAATTGTGTAGTCCATACACATAGTATGTGTAGACTAGCATGCCTACTCCATAATCTTGAGTAGTTTCACCTTAATTTTCTTGATCTTTTTTTTCTGAAATTTTTACTGAGAATATACAACTGATGAGAGGTTTATGTACAACTGATGAGAGATTTATTTCAACATATTTGAACATATGAAATAGTCCCTCGAGTTCCTTTTTTAATGTTGAAATTTTGTGTGGTCCCTTACAGACTACATGGTCTAGTTTTACCATAACTCCCTTATTTTGTATAGTATCTCTTTAAAACTTTGAAGCGCTACTTTCATACATGTCTCTCTCATAATTTGATTCTCATTAAGTGAAATAAAAGTGATCATTTGCTTCCCATTAGATCGATCTCCTTGAGTTTTTATTATCACCCATGCTTTAGACAATGAGACAAAATTAAGCCCTCAAAAGGCCATTTCGTGGCCCGGGCACAAGGGGTTCGAATCATGGCTTCCTCCATGTATGTTTGCATGTTAACTTGATGTATTAACAGTTATTAAGTGATGCACAATTAGTTAAATTGAGTATGTTATGTGAATATTGCAATTGTTCTTAAATCTTACGATACGAGCTTTAATGTTTATGTAAATTCAAATCTCATTGGATTATTATGATCAAGTGTATAATGTGTATTATACATTGTCATATATGATGAAAATGGAATTATCATACAATTTTGATATAATGAGGAATTGCGAGTGCAAGTCATTGTAATATTTTGTAGAGATGTACATTGTGAGTATTTGAATATTGTATTGAATTTAATTGTATTTTTGAATAAAGGATTTGTAAGGGACCTATTAGGGTTGAATTTTTATTATTTCAATGTGTATAAACCATGTTTATAGGCTGGAATATATGTATTATGGTTTTGTATTAAGATATTCATGTATTTAAACACTTGAATTTTAATACAATGGAAAAAATTTAAAAGATTGCATTTCTAGCCCATTGATCTTATACCACCAACACTAACTTAGATTCAACCGTTTTTTCTTGCTTTGAGGTTTTCAACCATCTATTCAGAAGTAAGTAACAGGTTAAAAGCTAGGTTCAATGAAACAAATCGTGGCCTTTTCATTTTGAAAATCAGGGAATATAGGTGGAGATGAAATCCCTTTCCTTTTGAATCAAATTTTCTCTCACTAAACTTGCTGATTGCCTCCCGTTTTTTCTTTCTGGTCATCTTTTTCTTGTACTTTCCCTTCTCTCTTCAGAAGCTAAGGTCTTGGAAGGCCAGAAAAGATGAGAAAAAGTGATTGCATTCAGCGGAAAGAGGAGAGAGAACAAAAGGGTAAAAAAGTAACATTAGGTCACTTAAAACCATTGACTTGGTTTCCCCATTTAATATGAATTTAAATCTTTTCCTTGTTGAAATGGACGGTCCAAAATTACAATACACCCGAACACCATATATCTATAATACACATGATCATTCCCCATATATGTGTGTGTGTGTATCTATGAAATACATAAAACTAAACTCGTGTCGCCCATAGGGCAAGGCCAAGTAACTTGGCCCAGTCTGAGTGGACTCGGCCAAGTCACGGAACACTGTTGGGCACTTCAATGAGAAAACATCAAAATCGATATTACGTAGGCAGTCACAAACGCTGGGGTATAATCCATTACAAAAATGTAAGAACATAAAAATAATAACTCGATATTGAAATCTTTCTTCATTATGGCAATATGTTATTATTCCTTTTTCCTAGGATTGCCTAAAAAAACAAGCCGACCTTTCCTTAAGCAGCAAATATAAAAGAGTAAGAAAGACTTACAGTAAGCCCATAACGTAAAGGATTACGCTCTTTCAACTCTTTAGCCAAGGAAACTCGACCTTCTCCATTTCCATCCGAAGAGGGCAATACATCAAATACAATTATATCCAAAAGGTTGGTATCAAATGGGTCTCCCAGTAATGCCAAGAATCCAGGTTTCAATACGGCCCAAACCTATAAAATTTATCAGTATGTAAACAACTGGAGCAAAGAACATTGTGAGAACATAAAAAGGGTCAAGTACAGAGAACCTTAAAAGACTGTTAAGAAGTTAAGATACAATGAACATATCAACAGCTTCAAGATTAGTGAGCCCCAAGAAGAAGAGATTTACATTACTATAACCCGAGAAAACATACCATACAATACAAGCAAACAAATTTAACATTGTATTTTCAACTTTGAAGCATTGATAAGAAAAATTAAACAAACAGTGAGAAACAAAGTCTTGATTGTTGAACAAACCAGAGAGCACATTTTTTAATATAAAAACCCTAAGAGTCAATGACATAAAATATGTATAAGATATCAAGAAAAAAGCTCATGGAATTTGTTCGTAATTCACACATTTGAAAACGAGAACATGAAGTAATAATGCTCATCAAGGTTTTAAAAATCAGCAAACCATATAGCAACCGGCTGATCCAGATCGAGAATCATTGGTGCCAATCCAGTTTTGCCAAAATATTGGGAACCGGTAGATTCCCTACTGATTTTGTCAGAGAACCAGATGGTTCAACTATGAACAGATTTAAAAATTTTAAAATTTTTTATTTAAGAGAGGAGGTGGTGGGGCCTACCTCCTCTTTAATTTATGTTTTTATTCTTCTCATTTTTTAATTTATATTTTGACAGGGCGCCATTTACAAGAGATGGCCTACATGCTACACCTTTTATGACTGAGGAGCCACCACGTGTTCCTGAGTGGGCTCAAGCTCTCAAAGCCCTTTGCCCCTCACCCCCTTTTATTAGCGCAAGCCCCCCATGACCTTTTGGAACTGCCCGAGGTGGGATTATTATGCATAGGTGAAAAAATGGTCAACACAATAAGAGAGAGGTAAGAAGAGAGATGGATATAAGAGAGAGAGAAATGGGTGAAAAATGCCCAATGCAATAAGAGAAGTGGGAGAGAGATGGGCAACGCATGAGAGAAAAATGGATAACGTAAGAGAGAAGGGCAACATTCAAAAAAGAAGAGAGAGAGAGAGAGAGAGAGAAGGGCATTGGTTGATCTATAGCGTATCAAATAAATTAACTGCTAGATAAAAAGAAAAAATGGCACAATGCTAAGATGTATAGTGTTATACATGCTCTATGATTCAGTTAGTATTTTATCCTTGATGATCATCCTAACAACCCCAAATCGATACCATTATTTTTTTGGCGAGATATATTATCTTAATACAACAAACACACAGACATAAGACATGCTCTCATTATTCATATATTTTTGTAAGATAATGAAGAACCATAATGCAATACCATTATCTTTTTGAAAATTTAAAACAATAGATTTTTTTTAAACAAATTAGTGATTTTTTGAAATTTTAGCAAATATAAACTTTAGTTTGTAAAAGGGCTTGTTAAGAAAAAAAACCTGCAAGATCTTCTTTTTAATACTTTGGCCCTCTTGGGTTTTAATTTTTTAAATTGAACCTCACTCCTACACATAAGCATAATAAGATGGCAATGGACTGTTTTGTCCCTTGCATGTTGAAAAAGATATCACGCCTTTTTTGGGTAAATCTCTTCCCACCTTTGTCTCTCCCTAACCCCATCTTCTGTACACAAAAAATATCTCTCTCTCTCTCTCTCTCTCTCTCTCTCTCTCT